TTAGGAAAGCGACACATTCGGTAAACATACATATTAACTGATGTTTAGGCATTTCAGGATCTAAGACCGCATATGACATGCGAGTTGAGACACAAACACTTTATATCGGTCAATCAATTAGTGAAGATGACCTTTGTAGTGTCGATTTATGTCGTTATGTCACATATCCCTCCAAAAGAAGTGTTTGTGTCAGGAGCATCAGGAATTGTAGATTGGAACAATAAAGTCAAATTATTTACTTAAAATCTATTATACTATATAATGTGTTTGTGGTTTGATTATTTTTGTAATATTGATCTATAAATTTATAAATCAAATTTGGTTTATTGCATGTTTTGTTACATCAGAAAACATATTCGTGAGCGTTGTAGATTGTTGTTTTTGTGTCGTTTTGTGCGGTTTTATTTGTGTGTACCTACATCTTTCCTTATTCATATTCAGGAAAAATGTTAATGCTAGATATGAGCATTAGCTGTATCTAAAAATATTTTTGTTACAAGATGTATTTATTTAGATTTTTTGTGTAAAAATATATTTTTTTTGTGTAAAGCTGGTGCTCATATATATGTTGACCTAAAACTATGCGAGAAACAGCCATTTTTAGTCAAAGACGTAAATTTTAACATGTCATTGACGTCATAGAGACACCACATGTTTCTTTCCCGCACTAAAGTGCTCATATTATTTCAACATCAATAGATTGACATAGTTTTAAAAAGCCTAAATACATTTATTATGTTTGCAATTTCGGGTGCTCTCATCATATGTTCTCCGAAGTGCTTTTCTAGATTATCCTGTATAATGGACGCTCAAACCTAAACTTTTGAATGTAAAATTACGTAGAAGCTCTAACAGCTTATTGTCAAATGTGATCTAAAAATAATTGCAAAATTCATCTACGGTCAGTTTGTCGTAGGGAGTCGGAACCTTTTTTTTTCAATTTTTCAAAAATTAGGTTTTAGAGCTTCTGATGCAGGTAATTAGAGAAAAGCGTCTCCATCGCACGAACGTTTTATTATTTTTTTTTATATTTTAAGGAAACTTAGTTTTTTTGTCTTATGTGCACTTTTTTTCACAGATTTAACCTCTATTACCTTTTGTTCTTAACAGACGTCTTTCGATTTCATGGTTTTGTGCGCAGCTCAGGTCAATTCATGATCATTCATTACATTAAATGTGTATTACATATAGATTCTGATAATGGATACAAAAAGGGGAGAAGATACTAATGAAAGGAAAAACCATAGGAAAACATAGAGAAAAAAGACAAACGGACACGAAATTCATAAAATTCTACATCGAAAATTGAAAATTTAGCTACACAAACCCTTCCGCAGCAGAAGGTATATATTTTAGTTCTTTACTAGTTTTTGAACGATGCATCAAAATCTGATAAAAACTGCACTGTTGAAAGAATTCAATTATGACTAATGATTTTATAAACGGAATCTGAAATCCTAGATTGATACAGAAAATTTTTACTAATACATTTTATCAAAAGATTACACATAACAACATGAACAATATAAAGTTCATTTTCTAATATTTAATTTATAACACACTTTTTATAAATTTCCCGTTGATAAATTTAGATATTATTTCAAAAACTAAAGTTCAAACTCCCTCAGGTAAAGTTAACCTTTCAAGAATAAGCTATTATCTTTATGTCCAATTTAGTAATATAGTTCCTAGTGTTACTTTTTCGATTTATTCAATCTCTAGCTTTCAAATATTTAGATTTGAGCGTTCCTGATAAGATAAATAAAAAAAAAAGCGATTCGACTGCTTGAATGTTTTTAGTGCTTTGTTTATGTACATACGTTTTTCCTCGATTGTTTTATTTTACCTATGAGATACTGACTTTGTAATGCTGCAAAAAACAATCTGCAACAAAATTTTGGCTATGTTCAGCTATGCTATAGCACGATTTGTGAGGAACAAAGTGAAAAACAAGCAAACATGAAAATCAAAACAAAACACTTTATCTATTTACTATTTAGAAAATAAAATACTGAGTTAAGGATGTACACCTCTGAGGAGCCAAAAATTTCTACAATTAAACTATTTTTCTTAACCTGATTTTTGGGTTTATATGACTGTAAAAAAATAATTGGTGAAGAAAAAATCATATGGTGGTACACTTATTTTTTTGCTACGGCCCTTTGAAAGTACCCAATTTTGATGATTTTCCCATTTTTCATCAATTTTTACTCATTTTGGGGCTATTATCGAGAAAAAAATCACAGTTCCACAATTAAACTTTTTTTCATACTTTTAATAAAGATGAAGTGGACCAATCTGAATAAATTAAACTTAAAAAATCTATAGGTAGGTGTTAATATAAGAAAGTTTTATCATATTTTGATGCTTTTTCGTGTCAAATTTACCTTGCTGTCAATTTTGTAAATTTGTGATTTTTCTCTGTTTTTAGAACAAAATGCATATTATTTCAACTTCTTTGTTATAAATGATTGAAAAAATACATATCTATTCTAAGAAATTTGAAAAAGAAAAAAGTGATATGGGATGTACATGATTCTGGTAAAATCATTTCTTGTACCCCTCACCCATTTTCTCAAAATTTTGGCTAAAAAGACTGACTTGATTAGTAATAAAATTTGAAAAAAAATTATTACTCAAAAACTACTTATCATAAATACACAATGTTTTCACAGAGTTAAGTTTAATTATGATATTTATTAAACTCATTGCTATTGTCCACTTGTATCACATGTTTTGGAAATAATTCCAGAACGAGATTTCAACGAGACTGAAACGTCAGAAGAATACATCCTTAACGCTAAGTATTAGGGGTGTTTTTTTAAGTTCCTTAATGTACATGAACATTTAAACAAGTCTTAAACACTTAAAGTATCTTTAACATTTTTTTAAATATGAACCAACGGAAATGTCTACTGGACAAGTATTGTAGATTTTTTGGCAGGTAGTTTTTCTATTTCGTTTTCAGCTTCCTTAAACTACTGCTTGAAATTGAAGAAGTGGTATGGTGAGCAGAATCTGCTGTTTTGAATATACCTCCGTTAAAGGTAAGGTAATGTTTATTTCATTGCAGTAAAAATTATCAAACATCTAATATATATTTTTCATGTTTAATTTCACATAACTTTTCGTCATTAAGGGACAAACAGTTTACATACTGGCTTCAAATTAATAAGTTATAGATACTTAACTTTATTTCAACGTGTAAATTACCAATAATATGTCACCATTAAGATATACACAATGCTACTGCATCTGCCAATTTATATCCTCTTTTAAACGGTGTTTATAGTATATTTTCAAGCTCTGTAAAATTTATTTTACTTTTACGACTTACGGTTTCAATAAACAAGTCGAGAATTTTTATTCACATAAATTATGTTTGGTTAAATGCCACCATATGTTGATGCATTTATCAAGTCAGAATATCAGAATGTCTTGCCATGTTTTTGTTGCCGGTTTTTGTCATTGATAGAAATTGTGGGTAGGTGTAAAGTGTAGTCATCTCTACTGCCATTTTTTTTTCATACTTGAACTGTCATTTTAAAGTATCACAAAGTATACCCTGGGCTATTTGAATCTATAGAAATTGCATATACACTTAGTTTTTAGTTATTCAAAGTACTTGTAGTAGTATATGCATTTATTATTATAGATTATTATTCCGATTTATTATCTATGTTTGACAGTTGTTTATAGGGGGGGGGCACCTGCTAGCATGATCAACCTCGTCAAGTTCTGTATGTGGAAGTCCAAAGTTATGAGCTTGTAAGTCGGTGGTTGTCGTTAGTAGCTGTAAATCACATTTTTATGTTTGTTTATAGTTTTGTACATACATAAGCCCGTTGATTTTCTTGTTTCAAATTTTAAACATTTGTCATGTCGAGGCCTTTTATAGGTTGCTATGTGAATGGGTTTTGCTCATTGAAAAAGATCGTACGGTGACCTACAGAACGTTGCTAACTTCTACATCATTTGATATCTAATG